TAGAGTCTTTTAATTAAGTTGATTTATTTAAATATTTATTGACTGTGAAATGATATTATCAGACATTAGTTTACTCAAAATAATCTAATGAATTAATGCACAAACATAACTAAGACAGGGGCAGCAGTGTGATAGTACCAGTGTACCATGATCACAAGGAAACAATCCAACTTCCCCCTTTTTGCTCCTTTGCTCATCCTTCCCTTTGTCTGTGCTGGCGGTGCAGGGTGACAGTCATGCCTGTGTGTCCTCTGGTTTTTGGTAAGTAATTTAATCCATAATATATCATTTTTAATTAATTTGCTTTCATTTTTTGTATGAATTTCAAGGACATATATTGATTACCCAGTAATGTAAACCTCAATAAAGTTAAAGACTTGTTACCTGATACCACTGGTATTAGCTTAAATGTTATGGCAAGAAATATATAAATTGTTTTTGTGTGTGAATGTCTCTACAGAATATACTATACTATAATATACATTATATTCATAGATAGGAACCGATTTTGTTAAATGTTTGTTGAAAAATTATAAATTTGTTTATTTTCTTCATTAAACCCTGCCCTGAAATAATCAAGCAAATTTTAGTTTTGTTTGGCAGAATATCACCAGACTAAGAAACTAGGAGTAGCAGGTTAGTTCCAGAGCCAAAAGTACCGTTGCCCTCTTCCCTTTTCTAAATATGCATCAGTTGCAAAAGGTCATATTATGTATTTGCAGACAGTGTGAAACAAAAGTTCTAACCTCATGCTAAATTAAATTTAAACTTCATAATAAACTTTCTAAAAGACCTTAAGGAATTCATTAAGTTGAAGAAAATGTAAAAGAGCCCTGTAATTCAGACTAGGAACTTTAAATTGTCTTTGGCTTCACAGTGGCCAAATTAAAATTGTTAACTAATGGAAGTAATTATGGGGTGCAGTTATATGGCTGGATAGCTTGCTAATAAACCTTCCATCTCCCATTATTGACACCTAAAACTAGAATAAAACATTGTTAGGTCAGATTCTGATTGGTTAATGATTTTCTCTTCGACATCACAGCAGCTGCCCTGTGTGCGGCAGTCCAGGCTGTTTCTCCTGTACCCACGGTCCCTGACCATGTCCAAGCCCTGGTGGGCTCCTGCGTGGTGATTCCCTGCTCTTTCACTCCTCTAGCTCCTCATCCTCTCAAGGGCAGGAAGGAGAGGGTGTATGTCAGGCTGAGGTTCAGAGGGGGTGGCTATTTATTTCCTCTTCGGAGCATTGCTTTTAACAGCAAGGACAGGGCTCAAGTGAGCAGGGATTTCCGAGGCCGAGCATCTCTCTTCGGGCGAATCACAGATGGCGACTGTTCAGTGAAGATAGAAAGGATCAGTCAGGATGATTCACGGATGTTTGAGATTGCTTTGAACAGAGGTGATGACTCACTTTGGGGAAAACCTGCAAGCTTTAATTTGGATGTTGTTGGTGAGTACAGGAGACGCTGTATTCATCTTTCTTTCATGTTTTTAAATAGGATAATGTGTATCCAGGCTGTAGACCAAACAAAAAACCCAAAAAGATGAGATGACGTGAACATGGATAACACATAATTGACTTTGTCTTTCATACACTAAGTGTGAATTGGCAAACTGCATTAAGTGAAGATGTCTTCCCCTCAGATCATCATCAGAGACAAGTAAATAAACCCATTTTATAATGAATGAGCAATAATAGTCAACAAGTACCAAGTACTAGTTAATCCAAACAGAAAAAGACAAAAGTTTTAATGTGGTATTATTCACCTTAAATAAACCACCTTAAAATTTGGTTTTGGCAAAGTGATTAAATACAGTAGACCCTAAACCTGCAAGAACATGAAAATCAAGAACAAATAATCTACTATAATGTCCCTGTAGCTTCTGCAGTGTGCTTTGATTAGAATTTTTATTTATGTTTAATGATTCACAACAATGATAAATCACTATAATGACAACTTTCCTCACAGAAACACTTGAAGCTCCTGTCATCAGCGGCATGCTGTCAGTGACAGAGGGACAGCTGGTCACCCTTAACTGCTCTGTCAGATATCACTGTCCCTCCAGACCTCCAGCCCTGAAGTGGAGCTGGGAGAGAGGAGTGCAGCTGAACAGCACAGAGCCTGGGGAGGTGCAGACACTCTACCCCGAGCCCCACAAAATGATGCTGCTGGCCTCTCTGTCCTTTACTGTGTCACACCAGGTGAAACCGAGACTAAGGTGTGAAGTCACCTACCCAGGAACCAGCCCACTGGCTACCTCAAAGGACCTGCATGTGACATGTAAAGAGCTTTTGACGTATATCTTTGTGCTTATTGGCTCAGTTTACATTTCAACCTTCTCCCCCCCCCCTTTTTTTATGGTCTGTAGTTCCGCCAAAGGAAGTGAAAGTTCAGGTCCAGTCCATGAATGTGCAGGAGGGGGCCAGTGCCTTGCTGGTCTGCTCATGCAAAGCTGACCCTCCTGCATCGGCGTACCGCTGGTCCTACAGTCAATGTGGCCACACGATACATCTCCAGCAGCACACACACACAGTTCGGGTGTACAACGTGACTCGAGACATGAGGGTCCGCTGCTCAGCACAGAACCCAATTGGTCGAGGAGACTCCCTGCCCACGCTACTGAACATACAGTGTAATCCTATTTCCTTTACACCTACCTACCAACAACCATACATTTTGTCTATTTACAAACAAGCCTTTGCCACATAGCCTATGTTTTATTTTCAAGAATGCCAAAGACTAATAGTAGTACCAGGCTGAAGAGCAAAGTTTCACTCACGCTTCTTGTTGAAAGTTTCAAGTTTGTTTCATTTTTTTACTGAGTACAGTCAGATGCTCTCTGCAGTACCTGTGCAACCGGCAGTGATGTGGCAGTGTTCTAATCACACCCCTGAACATGCTTTGACATCACTGCAGCAAGGTGTGAAGTTCCAAATGGCCATGAGACTAATGTCACTCTTGTTTCTGTACAAGTAAATATGGAGTTTCTATGAGCAGCCTGTTAGCTTATCTTAGAAGGCATCTAACTGGGACATGTTTACCTGTTTCTAGCCTTTGCACTAAGTACTGCAAAGTGGTATCAGTCTCCTTGTCTAACTCTTAGTATTATTTTATAGAGTGCAAAATTACAAACTAGTCACAACAAATCTTACAACATGTTATGCTTTTGAATCTGAAGCACCAAACAAACAAAACTTTAACATGGAAATAATGTGGTAAAGTGTAAAAAAAGTGTCTTTTCTCTGTTTTAGATAAACCAGCCATCCACCAACTCTCCTCCAACTGTGTAGTAGAGGAGTTGGAGGTGGTGTGTCACTGTTCAGTTGACTCCAACCCCAAACCTGCAGTCACCTGGAGCGTTAATGGGACTGTTCCACCTCATGACTATAACATATCAGTAACGTCAAAGTCTCACATGCTGACAGCCACTCTGAGAGGCCACATGGACACGCCTCTAACTGTGATCTGCTTTGCTTTTAATGCACTGGGAAATGACTCCCTGGTCTTGCTGCAGGAAGAAGGTATGTTTAAAGTACTATTTTTCCACACTAACAAAGACAACAGCATTTCCTCTTATTTATTCATTGTGATATAGAGCTGTTGCCTTAATATCTATGCAACAAGCCTGCAGCCGGTAACCAAATAAAAGAGAACAAGCTGAGGAATGACTTAGGCAATGCTGCAAGGAAAAACCTATGTTATACCTTCCTTTATTTTATATTTCTTCTTGTCGCAGGTCAGTGTTACATTTAGAAAAGGCTTTTATAGGGAGTTATTGCTAAGAATGTCAAAGTCAAGTCATTACATGAAGCACAGGTGACAAACAATATGTATGAAAGGGTACGATTAAACATAAAACATGTTCTGCTCATGATAGGGAAGGAAAATTGTACTTATTATAGCTTTAAATCATGTAGTACATTTATGCTGATCCATTGCTGCTCTTTTTGTCCATATACAGATAAAACCCCTGTGCTGTGGTTGGTGATACCTGCTGTGGGCATCTGCTTGGCCATATTTCTTCTGTCTATTATTTTTTACTGCTGCAGAAAGAGAGCTGGAAAGTATGTGAAGTAAACTTAACCTTTAATGTTCACTAAATTTGTTACAAATGTTTCCTGTGAGGTTCAATGATGGTACCTGTTCCGTTCATCTCAGAGGTGCCCTGAGTAGACATCTAGCAGTGTACCCTGAAGGACTGGGAATTTATCAGGACAGGATGCCCCTCTACATTAACTGCACAGAAGTGACTCATATCTATACCAACGGCAGCTACCAACTTGTATACCAGAATTGCACACCTCTTTTTGTCCATTCTAAGCAGGTATTGGATTTAACTTAATTTCTTAGTGTAGGTTATGTTCTTGGTAACAGATGGCAATGCATAGACAATAATCTCTACATCCTAAATTTGAGGATTATTAACTGTTATCTGTCCCTTTTTCAGATCCGTCCAATGGGCAGAAGAGGTGGAGAGAGAAGAAGAAGAGGAGAGGGTGGAGGAATAGACAGACAAGCCAGTTTGGGAAGCAGAGGCACAAGAGAGGTGCAGAGCACTGCTGCAGCAGATGCTGAAACAGCCATCTACCTGGAGATCCTCTGAGCTCTGAGTCGCATGATTCACATTACATTTAACTCTTCAGATTCATTCTCTTACTAGTGGTAATCCATGCATGTATGTACTGTAGCTTTTGTGGTATTGTATATACTGTACATCTCTAGTTATATAACACCAGCATTTCAAAGTCAAGCACGCTGCTCTTTTGAATAGCTAAAAGTAGTTCTCATGATTTCCATATTGAACAATTTCTCTTTTTCAGTGTTGACCTGTGACCTACTTTTGTGAGCTTTTTATAAAAGATGAAAATGTGTGATAAAAGAGGGTTTTCATCATTTTATCTTGAGTCTATTCTACGACACCTTCAACATGCAAGCACTGACCTTCAGATTTGATTTACCCTTACTAATCATCTACTCCAGTTGCATTTGTAACACAATGCAATCCTCAGGCAGTATTTACAATTCCTCTAGTCTAGAGAAAAAAAAATACAGCTCAGGTTGTTATGCAATTCACTACATTTATTACACCACCGAGGAAGTGTATAACAAAGCTCATGATAAAATTAGAACAGGTATAATTAATACAATAACAATAGCTGTGTTCTATTAAGCATGTCAAAAAGGGTTGTCAAAAATTCAAGGAAACACAATGGGGCCCTGGTACTGAAACTCCTAATTAGAACTGAGGCATTCATTTAGCTATTCACACAGAATGGCACAAGCATATGATTATAGCACTGCCAATTAGTGCAGGCTAAATGCACAAAAAACAAAAATCTGAATAAAATTAATAGTGAGAATTAAAACAAAAAAAGGAAAGAGAAAATACAAGGAAACCACCCACACAGTCCTATCCATCTCACCACAAGGAATCAATGAAGTGTTATCTGATTTTGACAACTAAAGGACTAGTAAATACCCACTGTTTAATTTTCAGTTACAGTCAAGTCCATAATCCAAAAAGGTGAGTTGTAATTTTCCTGCTATGAGAATGCAAAAGGTTTACAAAAAAAGAAGAAAAAAACTTGACCTCATAAAATATCATGTTTAAAAGTTTATATTTCTCAAAAGAGAGGGAAAATTGAACAAAATCTTGGAACAAACCAGGGGAATAATAATCCAAAATAGCTTTAAAATTACATTCTAATCATATTTTTAACGGAATTTTAAGATACAGTATGTTGCTTTTATAGCACCAAGTTCCTGGGGGAACACATAGTGAATACAGCCAGTAAGATCGTCACGGCCCCTCTGCCTTCCCTCATGGACATTTTTAACACCCGCAGAGCCATCAGCATTGCTGATGACACCCCCCACACTCCCACTTCAGAATCCTATTTCAGGCGCACTCCACCAGGCTTACAAACAGCTTCATACTCCAGGCTGTGAGGATGCTGAACACTGTCCATTACCTCCTCCTCTGGACTGTGACCCATCACAGAACATAAAAAGACTACCTCTGCTGTTTTGCACAAACCCAGTGCATTCCCCCTTCTTGTTATATTACAGGTAAATCTGCTGCTGAATTTTTTTACAGTCACATCTGCTGCTGCTGTTGGTCATGTTCACTACTGTCTATGTGCATCTCTATCTCACAACCATCTGACAATCTTCTTGTTATTATCTGCACTACTGTCACCGATTGTACATGGTTTGAGTCATAGCCTGTTAGGATGTACCATTTAGTTTCATCCTAATCACTTTGATTTAGTTTTCTTCTTCTATTCTTTTTATTGTATTTCTACTCTACTTTATTTAATTTTATTTTCCTAAATGATGTGGCATTCAATACTAGGTGAGAGAGAAACAGCATTTCGATTTTCTGTATGTCCTGCACATATAATGGATTGGCAATAAAAAATCTTTTGATAGGTTAATACAATTTTAACAGGTACACAATCATACACTTGGTGGCGGTATTTTCCGATGATGTGCTGATTAAATTGAGGAAGAAGAAGAAGGAAACGGTGATTGGGTGGACACGCTGCTAGTCGGAAATTGCGTCACAACATTGAACACAACAGGCTTTTGGTGGGAAAATGATTTCTCCTGTATGCACATTTTCTTAAAAATTAGAATTATTAACATGAATTTTCTGAGGTTTATTGTTATACCAAAGTAAGAGGTTTTGTATCAAGTACATAATAGTTTGAAAAATTAATGCGCAACAGCCCTTATAGTCTGTTAAAAGAATCGGGCTAATCAGGTAAAGTTCACTGTGCCTATTGTTTGCTAGCATGCTATTAGTCAACGGTCTGACGTGAGGTAGAAACAAGCTACTGTTTTGTAACTTTTCGAGGTTAAAGTTTCTCCCACTGTGGGGAAAGTTAATGGATTTTAAGTTTTGTTAAGCAGTTACGGTAGCGCTTCGTGGCAAGGCAAGAACACGGTTAGTTTACTTGACCTAACACTGGCTAATTGACTGACATCATGCCAGAAATCAAACTCAAGCACGTCGTGTCTTGCAGCACCGAGGATCCTGTAAGTTTTTGTTTGTTTTTGTTACTTGCATTGAATGTGTAAAATGTATAGAATGTCGTGTTCTACAGTCTCTGTATTTGTTTTTTAAGCATTTAGCCAAATTCCTTCCACTAACTTCTTGTCATGTAAAACAGACTCATAAGGCAGACAACCTGCTGAGCGCTGACACCTACAGGAAGTGGAAAGCGGCAAGACCTGGGGAGAAGCAGACATCAGTCATCCTGCAGGTATGTTTTTGCCCTTCTCCCCCAAATGTTAGCCAGCAATGTTTGTATGACGTGTTGTCCAGGCTATCTGAAGGTCTTGAAAACTCCTGAAAAAGAAATGAATTGAGTTCCCTCAAAAAATACTATATAAGATTTATAAAGGTCTCGAAGTTAATTTACAAGGGTCTCTTGCCAGCTGTAAACCATAATTTTAGTGTATACCTGTCCATCAATTTGTTGTGCTAAATGATTACTAGAATGCTTTAAAATGTCCTGCATGAGCAACTGAAGCATGCCAGAAATAGTATCATCCTTTACACTATTTTATACAACCAACTTTTAGCGAAAATGATTTTCAACTTTACTATTCTGTTATTTCAAATAGTCATACATTTTATAATTCTATTTGGGAAATTGCTAAATAAACAGTAAATTGATGTCACACAATGCAGCAATTGTTTCAGAAAAGGGGCACTTAGCCTGTAGCCACAAGTTAATATCAACTTTCCTTTACACGTGGATGTTTAAAACATTTTCATGGTGTTTGCAACCATGAAATGCTGGCAGCTATCCTGACTTTTTTCTTTCTTTGTTTTTTTCTGTAACTGTTGCTGTTGAACTTTTTTCTCAGTTTGAGAAGGAGGACCAGGTGCACAGCATTGATATCGGAAATGAAGGCTCAGCTTTCATTGAGGTGTTGGTGGGAAAATCAGCTATCAGAGAACAGGACTTTGAGGTATTTTCACAAAACAAGCAATGTATCCCACTTCCAAATACCTCTCTTAATTAGCAGTTACTCCATGTTATCTACTTATTGTTTGATTTCAATCTCTCTATTTTAGGTTCTTCTGGTTACGTCTTCCTTCATGTCCCCCACGGAGAGCCGTAACGGCACCAACTTGAACCGTGTGCGTTTCTTTGGGCCCGACCAGCTGCAGAAGACCACAGCACAAGAAAAGTGGGACAGAGTGAAAATTGTGTGTACACAGCCATACAACAAAGTAAGCGCCTCTAGTCATTAAGAAACCCATCACTGCAGGTTTTAAAGAGTGTAAGCCGATATACCTAATTAGAATCCAAAATAAAGTGTGCAACATGTGTACTTTACTTTTTACTTTGTTCATATTTTTCTAGTACTGTATATTACAAACTATAGCTTTACATGTCACAATAGGGATCTATATGTATTAAAGCCACATGGTTGTGCCTGGTAATTTAGTGTTTAGTAGTTCAATTAATGAATTAAACTATCCATCCATCCATCCATCCATCCATCTATCCATCCATCCATCCATTTTCCTCCGCTTATCTGGGACCGGGTCGCGGGGGCAGCAGTCTAAGCAAAGATGCCCAGACTTCCCTCTCTCCAGACACTTCCTCCAGCTCCTCCAGGGGAATGCCAAGGCGTTCCCAGGCCAGCTGAGAGACATAGTCCCTCCAGCGTGTCCTGGGTCT